CACAAACAGAGGGTTGCAATGTTTGTTTTGTGTGTGTGTCCACTTCTTCAGATGCGTTCTTGACCTCTACTTTGCATGCTTTGCTGATTAACTACAGTCATGCTTAGGTCAGGAACTTGAGGAGGTCGGGCTTCTCTCCCAAGTCGTGTCGCTTTTCGAAACTGACGCTCAGCCAAAAGTACCGTCTATGTGCGAATCGCAGGCGCGTTGCCCGAGGTACTGCGTTCGAACGCTTAGAGCCAAGTGTCTGCGGTCTCGGGGGCTCGAGCAACGAAGGATTGAACTCTCCGGACTCCGGACCCTTTCTGCAAAGAAAACCATGATGACTATGATATGCATATGATATGCATGATATCAGGACGTGTTGGTCAACTTTATGATGTTCCCTTCCGCTTTGGGGGTTCTTTTCACCAGAGGGCGTGTTCTGGAATCGCCCGGCTCCGAATTGGTCGTCGAGAGAGGCTGCGTCTTAGACCGGTAGACCGTCTCTCGCCTGTCTGGACAGAGCGACATCGGGGCACATAGAGGAAATCCAAACTGAACTGACAAGAGGTGAAAAATAGGTCAAATATGGCTGTGGGACTGGCTGTGGGCCTCTGAATCAGACCTTCGGGTCTCCTACTGGAAGGTCGTTGACTACATGGTGGACTGGTCGGGCTCCAGGTTTTGACCTATCCCCAAATATGGACTGCGCCCAAACTCTTGCTGCTCAATGACGCCATGGTGTGATTTTGGACACTGCCCTGTTGGTCCCCAGAAGCACTCACCCTTCACCAGCTTTCCTCTTCGAGATACCAACAAAAGCCGAGTGTTCCCACCGCGCTCCAATCACGGCCACACCGCCGCGCGACCGAAATCCGTGCGACCGAAATCTTCGCCAAGCTCGCGCCTGCGGCGCTGGCCAAATCGCTCGGGAGCTTTTCGGAGAGCTCCGAGTCCACGGCCTGCGGGGTGCGGGGTGCGGAGGTCTGTGGGATGCAGGGTGCGGGGTGCGAAGAAGGTCTGGGGTGACAGGCTACGACAGGAGCCCTGTAAGGGGGGGAGTTGGAAACCATTGGAAACCTCTGACTCAGGTTCGGGAAAAACGACATGGGAGTTGTTTGAGAGAGACTTCGTAACAGAAGAAGGGCTCCTCCATGTCAGTTGGGCGTCGAAGCCACGAATGTGGCTTGGGGTTCCAAAACAGGCCTCCAGGAAGATAGACAACGAACCAAGTGTGAGATATGTTGAATGACAATCCTGCATTACCTTGGGCCATCGAAAGCTGAAAAAAGAATGCAATCCAACACTCTCATGGTGAAGGATGAAGCTCTCCAACCCAAAAAATGAGCGCGTACAATTAGTCTTATAACTAACCCATGACCCATCTTAACCTCGGAACAACAAAAAACGAGGATCAATCTTGCTGAGATTTGCTGAGCATCCCGACGGCTGCTGCTAGTTGATCCAGCAGCGCAAGCTGCTCCAGCTGCCATGCTCGGACCTGGCGACGGGATCGAATGCGGGTGTGAACGGCCTGTGGTATTCGAACGAGAGTCTTCCCAGGTGGTTGGATGGACAACGAGCCAGAATCAACAAAAGACATGTTCTGCTTAGGTCGAACCGTTTTGGTCTTCAGAAGCGTTCTGAACTGGCAAATGACTTTGGAGGTGGGAAGTTGCTGGAGGTCTATGAAGATTTCTCGTTGTGTCGTGTTGACCAGTCGTGGCCCATATTTTAAATTGGGGCGTCTACATGCCAATTTTAAACATACTATATATGTATGCACCATTGCTCATGGGTTGATTTTTCCTGATGGAATCAGGATGAAGGATCATATCTTACATCTCTTCATGAAACCTAAGACCAGAGTTTGCGGCACGTGCAAAGTTCGGATCCAAACCCTCATTTCTGAGTAGTGGAAAACTTGGAGCACGGCTCAGTAAAGGCCACGGAAAACTTTCTCTGAAAAAGATCGCACTTCGTGTTCCGGAAGATGACTCCCAGCGTGATTTTGGCCCACGTGGCTGTGCGCGTTTACAGCGCCTGCGTGTGGTTCCCGGCCCAAAAGAGGCCCTCCGTGGGCACCAGCGACGAATCGAAGCTGTTCAAGGGATCCGCGCCTCACCAGTGCAAAGACCGACTGGTGCGACTCGAAGGGAATAAGGGAATTGTTCGCCCCCCAATAGAGATTGGATCCAGCCACCCTCAGCCACTCTACTTTCATCGCACAAGTAGATCGGTGCGTGGATCGGTCCGGTGGGTCCGGGTCATCAAGCTTTGCAAGCCCCAAGAGTGCCCTCTCTTAGTATGGGCATGGGGTGTGCATGGGCTGGCCACTCTTCACAAAACATGTCTGTGATTGCTTTATTTGGTTTATTCTTGTTCTGTCGTCTCATTGACCTTTCTGAGCTCACTGTGATCTTCACGCACATCACACACGTGCGGCTGCGTGTGTGTGTGTGTGTGTGTGTGTGTGTGTGTGTGGGTGGCTAAACATGACTAAACCCTCTTTTTGTATAGTCCCATTGGACTCCGAACGCTGAGGATCCTCACATGCGGCATAAGTCTCACAAAGCCCGGCATATTTCATGAAGCATCTGTCTTGGGCATTGAACCTCAGAATGGCACATGAAAGCCAACAATGAACATGAAAAGTGATGGAAAGTGAAATCCAACTGCGTCATCTGATGTTTTATGCGTCCAAGAATCCTTACAAATCCTTAGAATTCTATCCAACCCAACTGCATCAATTCCTAGAAATCCTTTGAATTCTGCCAAGTGGCATGGCCTCAACTGAGCCGCTCAAGGATTCCGTCGTTGTCCTTGGAGAGGAAGGAGGATGAGGTGGGATGGGATAGCTAAGATGGTTGGATGAGATCACTACTGTAGGATACTGATACTGTTTCTGGATAGGTGGTTGGATAGCCAAGAAGAATAGCTAGCAGCTAGAATAGCCAAGATTGCAAGACTGCCCAGGCCGCTTAAGGCTTAGGTGTTTCCATGTCGGGGGTACTCCAAATGTTCCAGAACTTCCATCCATTTTCCCCTGCACCTGATTTACGACCGCTCGAAATCCCCTCAACGACCGCGCGAAGTGAGCGGACAGCTCGCGACACCGCGGACCGAAACCGCGCGCGCGAGGGTCTCCATGCATGCCAGGTCTCCACGAAGCTTCGAAGAATTGTCGTGAGATCACCGAGACCGGAGTTTGTGTGGCACAAATACGTCCTTCGGTCACCGTGAGCTCTGCAAGGTGCACATCGTACCTGCGAAACTGACAGACTGACAGATGGTCGGCGGTAGAACCTGCCACAAGACCTGCGCGGCTTCGGCGGCTTTTGCTCCTTCTTTGTGATGAAGTACCCTGAAGCTGTGGTGAGCTTGGGCTCAAGATCCTGCAAGAGAGTCTAGGCAAAACATAGTTTTGTTCCCAGGGTGTGTTCAATAAGGAAACAAGCGAGCTGCTATCATCAATAAAAGCTGCCAACGATGGAAGGCCAGCATCGCTTGTTGAAAGTCTACTGTTCTCCTTCAACCATTGAAACCGTTCCAGTCCAGTCCATCTTAGGTGAATTCCCTTTATCCGGTTATCCCAATATACCACCTTAGAAACTGGGCTCAACAGCGGCACCGGTTGGTGAAGGCAGCATGGATGGTCTCTGCGACCTCCAGAAGCTGGTTCAACTTCTCCAGCTCTTGCCTTGGAGGCCAAAACTATCCAAAACTCGGTCAGTTTCTACCAGATCCTATAATCTTCAGCCGAAGCATGGTTTTTGTTCATATTTTTCTGACTTCAACGACATGAGGGTTGACTTGTATTTGCACTTCAACATGTCTACCTTGCAGCCCACTTGCGAGGCTGTGGCAACCAGAGCCAGCATCCATATCCTATGCACATGAGGCGACTCTCTCTCTCTCTCTTTCTCTCTGAGGACCTCTCAACGACCGAAGATGATTGGACAACATCTACGATCCTCTCGATGCTGGTGCAAAGATGTGCAAAGACATATTTCAAGCGAAGGCTCCATGTCCATGATAACTCTGATAGACTCTACATGACTCTACTGTATACTCTACTGTACTTGCTTCAAAAATAAAATAACTTGCACCATTTCGGGCAGGTGGTGGTGCCATGACATAAGACTCTTGATGGCAGCACACAGCTAAAGCTTGCTAAAGCACTGACAAGGAACTGTTCTCGGATTGTAGTACATCGCAAGATAGCACCTCACTAACCGAGCCTCCCCCAAGCAGCTTTCCTAGAGCAGTCAGCAGGAAACGAGCGAGGGTCCTCCATCACAGCGTGTTTGCGAGCAAACCCAAACAAATAACCTCGCGACGCCGTGAAACCACCCCCCCTTGCTCCACCCCGCACGCCGGTGGAGGCGGAGCTCCTGCCGCACGCACCTGGACCGACCGACCTGGCCTCCATGGTCGGACCATGGCGGTTTCTGCGGAGAGAGGGCCCGGGAGAGCTGAGAGAGCCACGCGTGTCCGACTGTGAGTCCTGTAAGAGTTGGGTGACCAGAAGAAATGAAAAAGGACCAGGTCCAAGCTACTTGGATGGTAACTATAGTGCACCCCTTTCAAGAAAAGCTGTTGCAATGAGCTGCCTTCATTCCAAAGCTCAGCTGATGGGTTCGAGAAGGTGTGCAACTGGTGTTTGAGCCCAAACAGAAAAGCATGCTGGTGAATGCTGGCGATCTGCAGTGCAGAAGCTAACTCCTTCGCGGAACCGCTCCCTTTCGATGGTTCGCGGCCGCGCTAACCATCTGAACCCCGTACTGTACTTCCACGGGGGTTACACGCTGTCGATGAGGCTTTTGGGGACTGCAAATGGGAAGATCATGGAAGATCTTTGCAACCCCAGACAGTCGGTCAAATGCCGAGAGCGGCAAGCGGAGAAAACATGGCTCGCCGTGCTCAGGCGGTGCAAATCTCGGAGGGTGACTCGAAGTAAAGCTAGAAATCCATGCCTTGAATACTTGGGACGACTTTCGCTACTCTTGAATACTGTATCAACACTTGGATCTTTTGGATGGATGTCTCCCAAACCTTGAACCAGCAACGGGGCCCCTTTGGGTTTCCAAAACCGCTCCTGGGGTGCCTTTCATCAGAAACCCTTCGTTCGTTGCTTCGGCCCGGCCAGCTGCGGCTCCACGCAGCAGAGGGCCGGTGAGGCTTAAGGACTTGGGTTGTAAACGCACGAAGAAAGGCCTGCAGGGCAACGAAGAATTGCCCCTGGGGGGGGGGTCTTTTGCATCTACGTGGGCCTTGCAGGTCTAGTGGGTCTGGTGGGAGTGGCTGGGAAAGACTGCATGAGATGATGCTTAGCTGCTAAGGGTTGGATCTTGAAAGATTTGGGGTGGTGTCGGACAGTGGGGGATGAATCGCTTCAGAACTCAGTTGCTGTGATGTTTGCATAGTTTCCAAATAGACTGGTTCGGCATGTCTGATATGCAATCTGTGCACTTTTCGTGGAGGTTCCAGTCTATCTGCAGGCCGCTCCAACCACATCACTGACTTGATAGATGGGATTTGATGTGGCACAAGAGTCAGACTCACTGCTTGCAGCGGATCGTCATGCGTGCATCTTTGGTGGACAAGTTGTTCTCCATTGTGAGCCCAGCAGAGGTGCCGTGACTCTCTTGCCGAACAGGCGAGACTCTCCAATGAATGCAGCATCTTATGAATTTCATCTCAACATGCTCCCTGGGAGTCAAACACCATAAGTTAGTCTTTAGTCTTGAGGGGACCCGAGTTCAGGAATTTCTTAAAACACTTCAGTCGGTCAAAATATAGTCTTTGTGCTTCTAGGGTGCTCGGTGCTCCTTACGGACTGCTCACTGCTTACAGACTCCTTCAGACTCCTTCGGCCCAGCCGCTGAAAGAAGGAGGCAGCTGAACAGCAAAGTCCGCTGGGCGAGGGACGTCCTCGCACCTGATCAGTGTGGCTTTGGGGGGCCCGAAGGATTTCAATCTGCGGGCCAATTCGTGCTGTCCATCACCAAGGGTAGAAGAGAATACTAGTAGCAAGCACAGAAAGTTTGATTCAGTTGGATGTTTTCTACAAAAGAAACATTATACATATGTATTATATATAATACAGCAATATTGATAATAGAAACTTTGCATTCTGGTGGTCGTCATCTGCATTCCATATGGGTGTGTATTTCTTTACCGTAGTCGGGCCGGGAAGTTTGAATAGGGGGGTATGATTCGAGGGTATGATTCGGGGCATGATTCGGGGGCCGGGGTATGATTCGCGGCTTTGGAATTGTATTGTTGGATTGGCTGGACTTCCAGCAGTGGGCCCACATCTGCGCCATGAGGCAGTAGACAAACAGTATCTGTTGGTTGCTGGGCGCTGGGCAGACTAGGTTCATGGGCATTCATGGACTAGGCTCTGCTTTTGAATCGCTGCAAAACTTGAAGGCCAATGCCTTCGGGGAAACATTCGCATGTGATCGTGCGACAAACACCCAAAAACCATGGCAGGATGGCCGGGGCGTCCCAGAATACTCTGGGCGATTGTCCCAGAACTACCCAACAAGCAATGATATGGGTGACCCGATCTACTCAAAAACGTACTGGCAGTCATAAAAGGTTCGTTTGGAACAAACCATACATACATGCAGTAATTGGTTCCATATATAGAGGATTGGTCCCCTTAACCTGCGCAACCCTAGGAATGCAATGAATCGTGTTTGTACACAAAAAATACAATGAAATATTCAAAGATCCGATTTTGAGGTTTCAGCAGAGCTAGGGATCGCCCTTCTGCAAACGAAACCACCACACCTGGTGCCACCAACCGAAGGGCAAGTACAAGACTTCCCCTGCGCGTACGGTCACCACCTGCACAGCAGGCTTCGGGGCGGGAAGGAGCTACACTTGTACTGCCTGGGCCTTCTGTTCGCACGGGGATGTCTCAGACTGCCTCATGATGTCACAGACTGCCTTGTGGTGGGAGGACAGTCACGAAAGCAGGAATTGACGACCTGACACCTTCATTGACATTGGTTTGAAGCACAAGTACGGAAACTATACAACTACTGTCAAGGCATACACCACAAAAGTACGGGGATTGTTTGCGCATGTTTGTAGAGGACAAAGAGACGTTCGTGCAAGTTTCCCCCAGCCAACGCTGGGAATCTCCCTCATTCCATAGTCCAACAAAGATTCTTCGCTAAATCCACTGCCTGGGCGTTCCAACCCATACTCACATGGAACTCTCCCGAGTCAACTCACATGGACCCTGACGTCCCGGTCGCATGGAAGACGATTTGCTTGGCTTTACTTTCCTCTACCAACAGTAGTCCATGACTTTCAGGTTCCCTGGGATCGTCTGGTTTTTGGGTGTTTTCTTCCATACGGATCTGCGGAGGTGATCCGACCACCGGATCTCCGTTTGTGCGGCCCGGGCCGTCTTTCTCAACTGGGCGGCGAGCTCAGCATACCTCGTGGCCGAAGTGAGAAATCACGAAAGGAGCGCACCTCTTCAAGAAAGTCACTAGGTGACTACCCCAACTACAGTAGAAGAGTTGTAGCATGTTGTAGCAAATGTCTGGAATCTCTGCTGTCCGAAAGGTGAGTTGATCCATCTGGAACTTCTCCAACTGCTACATCCACCCCAAAAAACGGTCAAAAACTCTGATTGGCAAGCATGACCAGTCTGACCATGCCATGCCACCCAAGGAGTCCTCCGGTCACCTTCTTTACCGTTCCCAACCACCTCCAATCACCCACACCCATGTGGGATCCCGTGGGCCCCACCAAAGATGGCCCACGGAGCGGTCAGCTCACCACCCAATCCGTCGTCAAAGCCGGGCTTTCCCGGGCTCCCGCGCTCCTCGGGTGGATCGTCCACGTCATAGACCGCGTAGTTCATGACCTCCATTCGAGTGAAGACCGAGACCGAGGAGACTGACGGCGGGCCTATGCAGAGACGGTTCCGTGAGGGTGAGGGTGAGGGTGAGGTGGAAAGCTGCTGGTTTTGGAGTGGTTTCGTTGGTGTTGAACGCGTTGGGCGGTCTGAGTATATCTGAGTGTACGAAAAATACGACAGGTTTAGCTTGGGACCTTGAGTTGAAGTGCTTCTGGATCACCCTGTTTGCCCTCTTGCTCTAGTTGTATATTTGTTGGATTGTTGTTTTATGTTTTAAATATTGTTGTTTATTTCTTTTTTTTTCTCGCACAACAGTTTGCATGGGAAAGCAAAAGGACCCAAAGTTTCTGGAATTATTCTGGCTTGTTCATACTTTTGTCAACTTTCTGCCTACTAAGGACGATTGCTGGTCAACTTCTCATCTTTGCTGCCCATCAAAGGACCGTGTCTCCACGAGTGCCCCGGCTGCTTCATCTGAGAGTCCTTCCGCCTGCTGCATGCAGAACATGCAGGAAGCCACTGATGACTCCAAACATCAAGCGGATAGCCCCATGGTCAAACTGGGCAAATGGAACATACGACCGAGACATGACCAAGACATAGCAAGACTTGCAAGTTTGGGCATCCAAGGTTTTCAGCCACATCCATGCCCTTCGGGTCAAGAACTGACCTCATTTTGCTGGAGTTGGTCACACACACAAGAAAACAAACTACTGAGGGAAAGGACTTGACTAGGCTTTACTGGGTCAGACTGGACCTAGAGGGATGTGTTTATGATGTGAAAAAGGTGAACTACGTGGATTGGTAGGCGCTCCATGTTTCGCATCTCGAGATTGATCACCGTGCACGTTCTAAGCACCTGCTCAGCCGTCTGAGATCTGAACATGTTGGCCTATTGGATGATATTCTGTACGGACCAAACGTCCCCGCTCTGTGTGGTTTGTTTGGTTTCTGGCTTCTGCCGGAGTTCAATTTCAACCTCCCAAAACGGGGAGTTCCTCCGGTGTCGCATTCATTGCAACTGCCTGCTTGCGTCGGTCATGAGTTCACCGCGCTCCTTGACCTTCAGCGACATGTGAGCTGTTCTTTGGTATATCAGTGCAAGAAATGGCTATGAGTCATGGGACCCGGGCACCCTGGTTGACCCTTGAACATGAGATCCCTCTACAACAACTATCAACCTACCATGCTTTGGTGGGGTAGGTTTTGACTCACAGCCAAATCAAGTACCGCAGAGCTTTTTCAAGAAGTTGGCTCTTTGCCCCCGGTGGGGGCACGGGCTGGTTGCCACATGTTGCCACCAGCTGTGGTTCCCTGATTTTCCCACCGTTGGAAGAAATCCTGCAAATCCGAACGAAAAGAACCTCATGTTCGCACTGAAGTGATTGAGTGGTAATCTTCTTCAAGTCCTATGGTTTTTCTTTTGAAAGAAAACCGCGTCAGTCTCTCAGTTTCGGTGCAGACCGCGTCAGTCTCTGCCTTTCTTTCGAAGTTGCCCTTGCTGCCTTCACCTCGTCATCTGCCATCGGTCACAAGTGCCGTCGGTCTTCGGCTCTTGGAGGCAAAACGGGCCAAAAACAACCAACATTGCGGATCGTGCTCCATCGGTTTTGGCATCACCAGGTTTGGTCGGAGTGACGTCTCATAACCCCCAACCTGCAGACTAACAACCCTGAACCCGACCCTGGAGGTTCGACCTTTTTCCTCTAAAACCCAGTTATTGTCTCAGCTCCCAGCTGGCTTGCCAGGTGGCCTCGTATTGTTGCAAGTGAGTGTCTTCGAGCGGTGTATCATTGGTGTCTGGTGTTTCTGTTTATTGCATCGAACTCAACTTCAACCCACCAGATTCCCGGCACTTTGGGAAGCATATCCCTGGATGCTGCTTTTGCACGTCCTCATCCCAACGCAAATCAGGTGTTAATTCCCCTGATGCTCGTTTACGCGTTGAGACAAGCAACCGTTTTGTGTTGTTCATGACCAGGTAAGCTTTATGCAATGATGTACATGAAAGTCTATTGTCGCAAGGTGTCCTTGTTGTTCAGAATAGGGGCATCCCTGGAAGCCCAAATGGGGTGATGATGGCGCCATGATGTACCATGAAAGTACCTCGATATTGTTTGTTGGTATACATAACTCATTATCGCATATATATTATTCAAATATGTATATATACTTCCTTCAGCCTGGCATTCATGTAGCGTGGAGACCTCATGAGCAAGCTAGGCAGCTCTGCTGATCTGTTCTGGGCCTGCCCGACGTAGGCTTTTCTGAGCCGCCCATCTGCCAGCAAGGGAGTATCGCCCGGTGGGCAAAGCAGAAACTCCTGGAGCGTAGCAACAAAAACGCCCAACGCGGTGGGGTGTTGGGGCGGGCAAGAGTCTTTCCCCCCTGAATTGTGCTTGCTAGGGCCTACACCAGGTTGTTGTTGTTGCTTGGAGGGATGTGGCCCGTCATCAATCTTTCTGTGCATCCCTCCAGCACCTTCTCTCCCACCAGCTGGGCAAAGAGATTCTCAACGTTGTCGAAGTGCAGTGTCCTTGGCCATGGGCGGCGGCCGGCGGGCCATGGTGGTGGCCCCCAATGCAGTGAAGATCGTAACATCTGATCGAACATCATCAAACATATAGAACTGGGACTCATGGAGACTCATGGAGACTCGTGGAAACTCATGGAACTTCCTGGGGAAGTCCCTACATCCAGCAAACCCCTCCCCGGGACTCCTCCCCCAAACTTTCAGAATCTTGAAGATAGCTCCTAGTAGCGTCCGATCGCTCCGTGCGTAGCGATGCCCTTTGTTCCTAGTAGCTTCTTGCTCCGTTCGTTGCGATGCCAGGAGCTACTAATAATAGCGTCCTTGTTCCTATCGCATTCTCTCAGCACACGTCTCGCCGAGCGAAAACGGTGCTCAGCTCCTGGCGACAGGGTCTCTCCGCCCAGCCAGAGGTCGGTGCGCTTGAAGAGCAAACGCCTCGGCTTCCGCCGGCGGTGAAAAGGCGACCAGCCACGGAAGAGACAGGTTCTGTGTGGTTCTGAAAGAGGCTCCAGTGAGAACTAAGAGGAAACTCAAAGGATGGTGCAAGAATTCCAGCCAAAACAGATCCGGATCTGTTCATGAATGCACCAGTCTCCATCCCATTCACTTCACCCACTGCCATGTTCAGCAACTGCTCCAAACCAAGTCATCCGAGTGCCCAGCTCCCCCAAGGCTGGAAACCCTGGCAACTTACACCTCGGCCAAGCAAGCATGGAATCATTCTTTTTAGCACATCCTCTCCTTACCTCCAAACAATACCGTGAGAAACCTGCCCAACTGCGCTCTGCGTCAGGAGCCTCAAAAACTCGAAGGATTTCTCCAAGTTCGCAGCGCCGTCCGCGTAGAGCGCAGGCCTCGAGTCCGCCATGAAGCCCAACCAAGAGCCCAACATGACCACAGATGTTGGCCGTTTTCACAAGCAATCTCTCAGTTCTCTCAGTTTTTCTGTCGGACCAGCTGTCAGTGGGGAGGCTAACAGTCACATGGCGCCCTGTCAGCGTCACTGGTTCTGTCCCAGCCTGACAGTCGAACATTCAAAAAAAGACTTCCCTTGTTGTAATCTTTGTCATGTCATGCTATATCATGTTCTTCTCTGGAATGGTTGTGGAGTGGTCTGTGCTGCACTGCTGACCCATGCCCTTCCGGACCCAGATCGCGCCCCTTCGACTCTGATGTCCAGACCACTGCCCTTCCTTTCGTAGCGATGCGACAAAGTCTGCCAAGGACACCTGCGCAGCAAGTGAACGAGGACTGTACACCATTCTTGGAGAACTGACGGGAAACAGACCCCTGCTGGACCCATGGAGCAGTACCAACAAAAATCCAGAATCTCTTTCCAGAATTCCTTGTTGAGTGAGGTTCCCAAAAGTCCCAAAAATCATTTGGGCTGGAGTGCAACATGCCTGCTGGGCGGTGCCAAAAACTGTCGAACTGCCCAAGCGCCAGAGCCAATCATCCCCAACTCAAGCAAAACATGACTCATCAGATTTCAAACAGTCCTAGGTTGGTTCTTCGACAACAATTGTGTTCACACTGCAAGTATAGAGCTATATAGCAAATGCTAGAAAAGAAACAAGTAGTGAAAACCCGTGCAAAAAAAGAAACATGTTCATGTTCGCTTCTCTTCTGGCTAGTTGGTTACCCATTTGACACCATCCAAATCTAAGACTTTGGTGTGTGCATCTATCTATCTGTATATACATATAAATTACATATCCAAATCATAATAATTGCACAGAATATATATGTTTTCTATATATATACAGTAGTTGATAGTAATTGCATTATACACAGACTATCTGTTCTTTCTTTTTTTTGGGGGGTGGCTTCCACCACTTGGCCGGCCTCAATGCGTGAGGCCGCCACGGCAAGCACCAAGTTGCCATGGACCACTCCTCCAGACAGCGACCGTTGCTCCAGCGGTCGTTCCATGTGCACCGCGTGTGGGGCGTGTGCGGTTGGTTTGGGGGTCAGGGGGATGATCCTGGTAGAGTTCAGTGATGTTAGAGGATGTCATGTTCCAAGTCATAGCTGCTGTCATCACATCAGGTGTCAGCTACTACTCTCATCATCTCTCATCTACTCCCTAATGACTTCTTTGCAGGTTTTGGATGGGTCTCCCTTCATGTTTGTTCAAAACGCATTGGATTCTCGCAGCACCTGATGCGAGTTATGCGCCACACTGGGCATTGCCCGGTCATGCTGGGATCGTCACCAAGATGGGCATCCGGCCGTATTGAAAAGGCAAAGGCCACTAAAGGTCTTTATGCCGAAAACTCTATCCCGACAAAGATCTGAGTACTAGACAGTTTTAGAATATGGAGACCCCAGCCACTGGGTTGAATTTGGTCCATGTTCTCCCGGGTCTCCCACTGGGTCTCCCCTATATCAATACACACCGCTTGGCCACTTCGCTCGCCGTCCTGGCAACTTCACGTCATGTCTCCCGGGCCATAGCGAGGCATCTTCGACCTGGGATGACCGGGAAACCCAACGGATTCATCAAAGGCCAATAGATATGGTGTGTCAAAGGAAGAACCTCTGCCGAAATAGCTGGTAGATGATGATAAGCGAGGGTCATGCCTAGAGCTTCCCCCAAGAAGGACATGTTCTTGGTGAGTAGACTGAGTAGAGGTTCAGGACTCCCCTCTGAAGGTCCTTTGGTCAACCATCGGAACCAGTGGTGCATGACCAGCGTACATCATGGGGGGCTAGTAGAATCTGAAACTGGAAAATGTTCACCCTGTTCAAAAACACAAAGCTGTCTGGAGGATCGAGGTTTCGACGATTTGTAGCCACCCTGCTCTGGAAGACACGTATCACTTCATGTATGACTTACACGAGGCATCACTTCTGATTACATCCTGTTTGCCCCCCAAACGCGCACCTGTCGTCCGCACCTCTCATGGCCATCGATGGCCAAAAACGCATCGCCCCTCCATTTTTGGTCGCCTTCATTGGGTGCCCCCCCTTTCTGATCGGAAAACGGGTGGTTTGGACCACACCGCAGGTCACCCCTTCTCGGCACCTGTCGCCCGAAAAACGCAGCAGCACTGGACGGATTAAATCCCTGTTCGTGGGCGAAGCAGAAATAGCAACATGATCAGTAAGCTTCTTGCTCCGTTCGTAGCGATGCCCTTTGCTCCCAGTAGCGTCCTTGCTCCTAGTTGTAGGTCCTAGTAGTAAGGCCAGGAGCCCCGAACGTAGCGTTCTTGTATATACTGAGTCCCGACGTCTGACCCATGACAGTGTCCTTTGGCGTCCGTCCACGGTGTCGCGGTGTGTGTATGTGTCACATGTGTGTAGGCACGGGCGGTTCAGACGATCAACGGCGATGTCAGCTCACTGGGTCAGATGTCAAGAAACTGGCCGTGAGAGTGAAAAAGAGCACAGGTGCTACTGAAGACGCTCTGGGCGGAAAAGGCGCCATAGCCCACCAAAGATCGAGTTTCTGCTTGGCTCACTTTCCTCTCTCTGCAGTCCAAGTGCGAGCTCTGGCTCCACGCTCCAAACCTCTGCAACGGTGTGGAATTCCCCTCCCTCTCCAAACACGTCCTCCTTCTGTGCGCGTAAGCGATCACGCAAGCGCTGGTCATAGACTTCACCAAGCTCAACGCTGTCAATGGTGGAGGAGGAGACAACCACTCGCACCCCCGAGGCGGTCAAATCCTGCTCAAGATCCTGCAGGTTCCCACCACGAAAGGGACGACGTCAAAAAAAACTGTTTTTTGGGTATGTTGAGGTGCAAATCAGGTTCCTTGGAGGGGCAGTGAAACAACCAGGGTCACTAGGTCACTTAATATCAACGGGCAACATCAGGGCACAACTCACAACCACCCGGTCTTTATAGGAAGAGTGCCACAGCGGAAACTCAAGACTGTAGCCGAGCTTTCCCAGCTCTGCTTCACGCCATGTCTTGATGTGCTCCAAATGCAAATCTCCAAACACAAGGCTCTTCACCTGTGCCAGGCCAACCACTTTGAACCACTGGTTTGAGCGCAGCCCAGGAAACATTGAAGCTATACTGACTGATGTCCCAGGTGCCGCTGGTCGTTTTCCCCACGAAACGTGAAGCGATTCAAACATGAGCCCAGTCGTGACTGTGCGACGATCCAAGTGATAACACATGCAACTAGACTGGTTGGCACATCGGTCTGCTCACCAGGAAGGGCCCTACGTGCTCTTTCACCTTGTACCGACAGTTCCGTGCAAACTCAAATAATAACGTTAGCATGGATTGAACAAGAAATGCCATTATCGCTACACCTTCAACAAACAATAACCATCCAAAATGATCCAAAAGGAATTCGCAACATCAACCCTTCATTAATAAAGGGTTTCTGTATGTTGCTGTAATATTCTTGATCAAACTCAAAGCCAAGAAAACCCCCAACCCATCTGATCGTCGGCCAGTCGGCCTTCGGTCCGAACTGCTGACGAAGCAGCTCCAGGCCCTTAGTCACGCGGCTCACATAGCTCTCGCTACTGGCGCGGTGCATGGGAATGCCCAAGAGGGTGAGGCCCAAGTGCTTCGCTTGCCGCTGGACCATGTCGATGGAGATATCCTCAGAAGGAATTGGAACATCCGAGAATCATCATCTGGCAATCCAAGCAGTTGAGGGATCCCTGAGCGTTTCACTTGCTTAATGCCAGACCTCCTATGACTTCTGAAAATCAGTGCTTCAGTTATTAAGGATATTTGAGGATGCTTCCATGCACACAGATCTGGGCAGCACATGACGGGTGTTGGAAAGTTCTTTTGAGGTCAAGGGCTTGAGGAGATGGGATTGTCTCAGAACCCACGAGAAACTATACCTTGTAGAAAGGGAAGTCGTTAGATGAAAATCGGTAGAGTCTACCATGTCTACCCCTGCGCCCAAGCATCAAGCACCATAATATGGTTGGGATCCTGACTTAGTCAGATACCCTTTGGCCAGGCTCGGGCAACAGACCCCTACTGAGGCTACCTATCCAATGGTCTAAGAGCATGGCCCAAGAAAAGCATGTTCGCTTGCGTTCGCGCAAACCATCAAATGCCCAGCGGCTTGATGGGCAATAATTCGGCTTGGTGCATCGAATGTGGTCAACAAAACAATTCCCACTGCTGAATCGGACATTTCTCGTGCAAGTGCACGAAGGGTCAAGAAGGAGTCTTTCCCACCGCTGAAGAATAAAACACGAATTTCAGCAGCTGAGTCAGGAGAAAACTTCAAAGATGTTCCTCGACATAGGATGGCTGGTTGCTGAATACGTGCCAGTTTTTGCTCGTCGCAAACATTCACATGATTGTAGGGACAGTGGCGACAGCCCGAGCCACAGCATTTGCCTCGCTTTTTGTGTGCAACTTCAGTGAAAACCAAGAAGCCACTGACAGGATCTGTATAGAAGGTGTCTCCTCGCTCACAAGCCTCTTGATGCAGTTTGAAGAAATCTTCAATATCGGTGATCTTGTGTGTCTCTTCAGTCTTCCTCCTGCGGAGCGGCATCAGTCCAATGCTGCCCTACTAACCCCTACTATGAGGCCCTCTTTGGCTTGAGGGCGTTTGACTCCACGCCCCCAACAACCAAGATGCCAAATGCCCCGCAGCAAAACCGCTAGCCTAGCTACAGTACCAATTCTTGCTGAAAAAAAAGCTCAATTCAAAAACAGTGAAGTCTGCGATCTTTCTCCACCCTGGTTAACCTATCTCATCCCATCTCAAATACCCTCACGTTGTCCAACACAACAGGAGCCGTTGACAGACTACCCAATATGACAAAAACAGCCTCCACCTCTCCTCTTGACTCCCTGTTGAAGTGGAATTCTCTTATAGGCCGTAGCTGCTTTTGCAAAATGCAGGCCCTTGATGGCTTCCGGCACCTCGATTCTCATTCTCTAGGTCGTGTTTTCGACTTGCTGTCCGGTGTGACTTCAGACTCAGACGCCCTAAATGATGCTCACAAGCAGGCAAAGATCGCAGTAACAAATCATAAAAAAGGAAGAAAACTATTGTGTTATTGTGTTGCTCGGGGTCTTGGAATCGAGGCTTGGGCTCAATTTCACAATCTCAAGAGCTGGCTCCTAGCAGTTTTGGTAGCAGTAATGTAAACTGTTGATGAATAACACCCACCAGGATAACACCCACCAGGACTGTAGGTTTAAAGCCATTCTGGTCGGGGGGTTGAAATATCATCAACAGTCTGCAGACTACATTACTAGACTCCCGCACCTTCGTCAGTGGAGGTACGAACCGTGCCGAAGCCAAACACCGAATCTACAGGTATCAAACCTTCCCTGGTCATCTTCAGGCCCCTGCTGTTTGTGTAAAACACCGCACTGCTCAGGTTGAGCTCAGTGCCACTGAACTCCCATCTCCATCCGCTTCTCATTGTTCGAACCATGTCCACTCCTGTCCAATCCCCGCTAAAGCCCTGGATTCGGTGCCTCAGGCTCCTCGCAATACGCACAGAGTGCCATGATCACCGTGCCCAGCAGCAGCTTGGGCCCAGGTCTTGCGAAGAACTGATCCCCATCCGTCGCAAAAGCTACAGGTGTCCTTGGTGTGTCCTGAAAGACTGCCGCGAGCTGGTCCTGTACCTGGAAGGGATGTGATAAGACATGGATTCGCTTGAGGAACCGGGCAAAGTTGAAAAAAATAGACTTAAGCAAAACCAGGAAGATGTTCGGGTTGGATTGGATTTATGACCTTCGTTTCAATGCCAGATTTGGGTTGAACTCTATGGGGTTGGGCTTGATCTGGTGCATCTTGCCATTGAAAGGAAAGTGGAAAGGCACAAGTGTTGACGAACATGTACCTACATGGTCGATGTCACTGCGCAAGAGCCAAGACTTGAAATCCCCCTGAGCGCTGTATTGTTTTGCTTTGTTCAAGGGGAGTTGACATGGAGGGTTGTCTGAAAGCAGACGTTGCCACAGGTCTACTTGTCCCATGTCATTCAATATCCTACCTGGCCTGGCCCTTCCGATTTGCAACATGTGAGTCACTTCAGGCACTTCTCTAATGCTCGAATCGAGACAATCCAAGCGTCACCGGGTAAGCCGGGTGAGAGCCCCCAACTGGAAGGCATTTGAGGCTTTCCGGAAAAAACACTCCAACAAATCAGATTTCTTAGCACAAATCACACAAAGATGTGAGTAGTTCAAGACATGAATCGACCTGATGTCAATCATGTCAGTATATGCAATGCCATACAATGCCCAGGTACAGCTGCAGCATCCTGATAATTGCGTTCCAGATTGAAGCCGCAGCAGGCCACCAGCAAAAGGCTGGGCTTGGTTTTGGCAACATCTTGCCTGAGCAAAACATCTTGGTTTGCCTCCTTGAAGTGGAGAACTGTGAGGTGAAGAACACAATACAATCAGCAACGGCCTTGGTTTGTTGCCTTGCTTTGTGTGTCACTAGTCACTACAATCTCCCTCAAACTGGTACATGTATCATGTAAATACTGTGCGTGTTCGATCCCTCTCCAAGGACCAAGGACCATCAGCATGGACCGACTTCGGGGATTCGTGTTGCACGGCTCGTCACACGGAGCCGGACGGAGCGCTGAAAGCCACCGGACGGAGGCCACCGGAGGCATGGTTCTGTTGTCGTTCAGGGAGGATGTTCCCAAGAACCCACGACTTCACGACACCGACTTCCACTTCGCGACTTTACTCTTTGACACCCAGTTGCCAGGTAACTTCCTTGGATTTCCTGGAGCTGCTTTCCTCTTCGGCCGCATGTTCTACACAGGCCCATTGCATCATGTCTGGCATCCAATGGCCGGCATTGAACGGTGGTGAGAGCCATTCAAGCAAATACATACCTTGACCGCATGACAGCATATGACGCGACCACAAGCTTGAAACTCATAAGACGGTGCGGCCAAAATCAGAAGACAGTGGTAAAACGGGAAAACGATTGGCCGCGGCCGTGGCATGGGAAATCCTAAGGCCACATGTTGTATGGTTTGATATGTTGATATCAAGTAGTTCAACAAATGAACATATCCTTAATTCATTAGCTATATAGTAATATATAAACTTAATAATATATAAACTTAACCACATTTGCACGACAATGGCTTCCGGCCCCTCTTCCAGGCTGGAAGATGCTGGAAGGCTGAAAGCCATTCGTTGGCTCCTGCAATGAGAGACATTCCTGGTGATTCGGGAAAAAGAGAAACATTGCTGGCTCCAAAGAACCAAAAAGCGTGGTCGAGCGCCCTGGGGAGGGCGGTGTCGAAGAACTGTCTCTTGAAGCTGCTTGAGTTGGCTCTGAAGCTGATCTGCCAGGGTGATTCCACGCTCTGGATAGCCGGCGCTGGAAGCCACAAGCCGAATGCTCTCTAAGACATCCTCCAGACTTTCCTGGCGGCAGAACGGCAAAACAGGACATGACTCGAAAAGCCTGGTATAAAATCTAAGTGGTAACTGAAAATTAATAGTTGCGATTCACGTGCGGGTTCACTATCAATCAGGCCACTTCCATTGACAATTAGTATCTCAGTCTGTTCTCCAGCAGCTCCTTTGAACATTTCAAGGCTTTACTCGAAGCCACCTTTGGGTCAAAAAACGACTTTAGAGACACCTTCACGATTTACAATTGATTAATTCAAAAAGTCTTCACACGTCTTCGCGTCACACTTCTTCACATGTCTTCACATCTTGCACAGAGCGTGGCACAACATCCATGACAGGTGAGGGCTGCCAGCAATTCCGATAGAGTATATAGAGCTTGCCTTATCCTGTGGCATCTCAGCCAGGATCTAAGACAAGTGGCCGGGCTCAAGGAAAGCACTTGAACCTCAGGAGGGATCCCTATTGAAAGACCCCTTGGAGACTCCAAGTGGGTGAGGCCGTTGGGGAGACTCATGAGAACAACCATGTTGGTCCTCTTGTCACCGAAAGCCAGGTGGAAAGAAAACAAGATGCCAGGGCAACAGAAAGCGGTAGGCAACTTCAATTCATATGCCTTCCAATGGCTTAGATCGGTAGATGACACAGAACACTGTGGTTGCAGGTGTTCTGTTTCAGCCGCAACTGGATCAAAAATAACAATAAAAAGCAGCAGCAGAAGCAGCAGCAGCAGCAGCAGCAACCAGAACCATGGCAAGAGGACAAAAAAAAAGAAGGAAAAAACACAAGAAAAAGTATTGGGAACCTCCTGGTGCAATGCTAAGAAACCAAACATGGGATATCATGAGATTGTTGAAACCACCAGGAGCCAATCATAAAACGCCTGCAGACAACTCCTTTTGAGATGCTTCATGCGAATTGAACAGAATCCAGTAGAATATTTCCCAAATTAATTACGGTTGAGGATGCTAACTTGCTAACCCCTCACCAAGCAAATCCTTGAAGAGTGACTGCATTAGGTTAGGACAAGGGAACTTCATCCGCTTCATCCGCCCCCACTAGACTTGTCTCCCCTCAAGCTCCACAAAAAGCCGCCACGTGACATGGCTTCTGTGCCCGAGGCGGTCATAGATCCTTGGATTGGCTCAATTTGGTCAATATGTTGGGTATACAGTATCCCATGATCAATAACGGCGGATTTCTTTCCGCTGTCCATCTGATCAGGATGCGCAAAACGCACCCCCTGATAAAGCTAGTCAGCATCTCCGAAAATTAGCAGCCAAACATTTCCAATAACTGGATGATGATGGTTGGTAAAGACCCTTCCCCAAAAAAAGAATTGCCCCTTTTACCGACAGTTACTGGTCATGGGACACACCCAATCAATATGACACGACAAAAAGAACGGTCGATATGCTGACCGCAAAGACGGCTTGCTGGCTGGATGGTCACACTGCCGCGCACGATGTCGTTTGGGCAAAACAACTTGATGTGGAGCTCCAAATAGAGGGAACCCTTTTGATGCTAGACAGACCTTGTCTTGTCCCCAAGTGATAATTCTCAGATGTTTTACTTTGTTATAGTCCCAAGTCGTGATCTAACATAGGTTTTCCAGGAGTAGATGGATGACCGTGGACAGTGGACTGTCCAGGCTAACGCCGGGGTACTTCGACACACTCCTTGAAGATGGAGCACACACCTGGCACAGGTCCTGCGTGATGATAAGTGTTGGCTGTGCTTCCAGCAGTGCATTCGCATCGATGGGATACAGCGATGGGATGGCATCAAGGGATCCTAGTGTGCGAGCGCACAAGGTTGTGCGCACAACTTGAACCATTATCTTGGCCTGGCAAGGCCACAAACGCATTTCCTCTTGGCTCCTGTTCAACCTTTAATCTATATAGCTCCCGGATCCCGCATAGGAAAGCTCTTTCAATCAGTCTTAGCATCCAGAAGCGGATTTTGCTTGATCGGACATCTGCTGCACTTTGCGGTGGATATCCACTTGTGAAGAGATCTTCTCTTCCTGTAGGACATCCTTTGTCAAGATCAGAGGACGACTTGAGCCATCTGAAATTTGATCACATTCATGGGTCACTCCAACAAGACTTCTGCTGAGCCCCAGGGCAACACAAATATCAGTGGCGGAAGGAGTGAGGCAAGCGATGCGTAGCGCGGGTTGCTCTGACTCCATCAAGGAACCGCATGCACTCATGGTAGACATGAGTCAAAGAAATGTCTGATCCCAAGTGCAGCAATTGCAATTGTGGCTCTCTTCAATGGACATCCAAAAGAAAAATCTGGGGACATCTCGTTAGATTTCGAGGTTGCAAACCTGTAAGGTCTGAAGGTGTTGTGACTTGCCTTTTACAGGTCAGCTTGGCGGCATACATGTTAAGATATTCTCTTCACCTCCTGTGAGGCAGCTATATAGCCTGTAGCAGGAAACTGCGACGTGCAGGACAGCAAACATATGATCTTCCGCACTAGCCCATACAATGCAAACAGGAAGAATGCAGGCATGTCCAATCATGAATCAAGGAGACAAAGCAGGGAAGATGTTCTTCCAATCTGGCAGCTGTGCTGAAATTGCAGAGTATACAAATTGACCTATTGATATTCCAGATTGAAACAAGTGGTTGGAAACCCTCGAACCATGTTGAATCTTGGAAAACATTCGAACATACGGAGATAACCAAGCACACGTGGGACAGCAGCACTGCATGCACGCGGGTTTGGTATGCGGCATTTGGAAGATCATATCGTGGTAGGGTGGAAAGGGAACTTCAAAACGGTACCTCGCTAACCACTAGTTTGTAGCGGAAAACGCTCTTTGAAGGTGCCATTCTCAGGGTCCATGTTAGTTTTCGGGGAGTTTATTTTTTTTCAGAAGGTCGTTCTTGACAGTCGTGGGGTGAAGGATAGGGTGGCCCACGAGGAGCAAGTCAGACTGAAAAATATGGCCTAGGTATGCCTAGGTTGATCAAAGACTGGTTGGTGGTTTCAACTCACTTGAAAAGTATTAGTCAGTGGGTTCAATAATCCCTAAGTAAAGGTTGAAAATTAACAAAAAATAACAACAATACATAGACTATAGATCTCTCAAACCACCACCCAGAAGAAACATGATGAGCTCATTCTATTCCATGGTTTCTTCCCTGCATCACTACTCAACAGCGCCAGCACCGGTTCACACCCAACAAGTCGATGGGGGCACAAACTTCCATGCCACCATTACGTGCTGGGATCATATCCCGCCCGTTGACCGCTCTGAAGTCCGACAGACGAAGTTGGCATGACCTAAAATGTGGTTTCTAGAGGAACCCTAATTACATGGTTGTGGGATAGGTCACCAGGGTCTACCCACAGCTTGATTCATTCATATTAAAATATTCATTCCCAAATTGCTTTGCGCTTAAAGAACTCGCCCTGTCTCATCTCTCTGATCTGTCTGCCCCGGCCCACTTGTCACGCCCATCCTCCATGAGCGGGGCCACTTTCACCCGCAGCTCCGAAGGGGCCTTGTGGCTTCGATTGTGTGAGATTACAGAATTGACATCGAAAACAAGGCAACGCGGGTCAGTCCCCGAAATCTCGGTTTCGGTCGTGTTTTGGTCAATTTGCAGAACTCGGTTTTGGTCCATTTCAGAGGACTTCAGACTGGCTGTCTCGAACGCGGCAGACGGCTTTAGACAGGGTTTTACCGGTCAAAAGGACGGCCAAAAAACACTCCAATCACCTTAGTTGGAGCAAGACTCACCGGAATGTTGTCCCGCAAGACCGACTACAAATGATCCCAGCGAAAACCGACTACAACAGGTGCAAAGCACCAAGTGGTGGGGTAAGATATACAAATAATAGGGCAAGTAGGGCAAGTAGGGCTGTATGCGGAATGCAAATGTCTCTTTTACGGAGCGACCCTGTCAGCTTCAGTCAGGGCGGTTGCAGCAGACGTGGCAGTTGCCCGCGTGCTTCGTCTCTCGGCACGGTCTGACCGGTCAGACCGGCACCGCTCATCGACATCACCGGACGGTGGCATCGACTCTGACAAAAGTGAGTACCCTCTAGACTATTACGCAATAAGGTACCCTCTAAAACAAAAATAGAAAGATCTAGACAATAGTCTGCCTGGCTACTCATGCGTGGTTCCCTAAAAAAACAGGTTTGTGGGGGTTGTGGAGTGAGTGGCGTTCCTCTGTCACTAAACTTGTGCAGTGGGGACTCTGTTCATCGGATCCAGATCAAACTCATTTGCCGTCAAGCGCAATAATGCCTCATGTTCTGCCCAATCCCAGCATGTCAAGGCAACACCGCATCGTCTTTGAAGGCAACACCTGCTTGCAGAACGCAGTCTTTACCAAACTCAAAAACGTAGTAACAACCGGCGGTTGCAATAACTGGAATGTTGCGTTGTCCATGATCGTTTGATCTGCAAGCAACAGCGCTCCCATCACTTCAGAGAAGCACTGAATGATCAAATCTGCCGACCAGTACAAACGCCCCAGGGCTTCCCAACAAGTGTTGGAGGATCCATGTGTTTGTTCATCAAAGCTTCATCCGTGCTCTTCCCGCCACCGACACCTGCCCCAAACAACCGAGCGTTCCGAGCCATCTCCAGCAAGCTTTCAGGCGTCCAAGAGAGGCATGGTGCCTCAGGCGATCAGTTCGTTTCGCACGTGAATCGCCTCTGAGTTCCACAGGTCATGGAGTCCACATGGGTCAAGGAATTATTTGTGCCAGTTGCAAACGACCTGAATCCTCTCAAAAGATGGTTCAACATTGGATGTCTCTTCAAATATTCATGGGTCTCTCTTTTGCTCCAGCAGCTCCAAACCAACATCAACAATTCTCAAGAGTTGATGCTCGGCACGCGCGCGGTGACCGAAAGTTTGCTAGATGTTCCAAGCTTACACCTCTGTCAAAAGCCTCAAGGGGATGGATCAAAGATTTGCCTTGCTGCTTGGTGTGGTGAATGTTGGGCGGAGCTGACCAATACTGCTTCAACCGGCAGATCAACCCATGAACCCCGTGAACACTCCGGCCAAACTCATGAACTTAGCTGGAGCCAAGCAGAAAAAGAAATGCTGAACACCAGAATATGCTGAGCGAGATGACTTACTCTATATTGAACCCGTGTTGCGCTGGGATTCTGCAGAGTCCTTGCAACGGGATTCCGGCATCCTTTGAAGAAATGCCTCATTCGCGCTGAGAGCGCCCAACCCAAGACTCAGGTATTGCACCTTGCAAGAGCACAGGCCTTGGACCACGAGCTACACAGGGCCACGACTGGTGGCAGTGAGGGCTTTGGCACTCGCTGGTCACTTGGATGAACCGTTTCTTCATCCGACTCACATCCACTGTCTGAAATGCTCATCCGAAGTAGTTCCACTATACCTGGGGAATGAAGCGCAGGAGTGAGGCTCCCTTCCATACACTCCCAATAACAGCATAAAACCAACATCTAACCGAATAAGCAGAAAACAGCATGTTCCCCTCCGTTTTCATAGCATCGCGTATCTGATTCCATGAATTCACTGGATCCATTTCTCTCCGACTGGGCCAGCAACACACAGCATCTCTGGGCTCCTGGCGTATTGGTGGCCACATACTCCCTGACCTCGGTTTGGTGCTCGGGCTCAGCCAGGGGCCATGTACGCTCAGCCACGTGTTCAGAGCCGATGAGTGTGAGCTCCAAATGGTGGGCACCCAAAACATCCTCTTGAGAACTTCTCTTTGATGCAGCTAGTGCATGGCACTCACTTCGGCCATCTTCTGCCGCACAGAGGCCTTTGTCAAAGCATCTGAGACACCTGCAAAGGACTCCGGGGTGAGATTCTCCGCCGGTACCTCCCAGAAACGCCGGTACCCAGCGAGCGAGAAGATCCAGGCACCGAGCTAACAGAGACTCTTCCTTCGGTCAGAACAGGTGCGGAGTTTCCAACAGAACTGTATTCGGTCACCAATTCGGTCACCAATTCGGCCTTGTTGTAACAAGGACCCGAGACCTCTGAGAGGTCTGAAGACCCCCAGTGGGTACTGTTGTTCATGAAAGTTCTGCCAAATCTATCAGCTACTGGATGTGCAACACGCAACAATGCACAGAGCAAAATCGTCCGCGAACTGGTAGAGATGTCCATGAGGACTGCAAACTCTTCTCTCAGCCCCGAATGTCCTACCATTGCTGCTCAAAAAGCTGAATGAAACTGATCCGACTCACAAGGCTTCTGACACTGCCTCTGACATGTTGAGTACATGTCAATGCAAATAATTAGATATATCATATCGGAGAGCTCCATCATCGAAAAGACTTGTCGCTTTTTGGGCACTTCAGGAGATTATGCCATCTTGCATGGAATGTCTTCACAGAAAACATGAACCTGAACGCATAGAAATGTGACCAAAGGACAGAACCGCAACAGCAATGACAGCAACAAACCTCCAAACGAAGAAATAGAAACAAGGACTTTTCATTGTCGCTGAACCCTGGACGCTCCCCATGACGCTCGGCACCCGCTCCACTGAGATCTTCATCGTCACCTGTCAGCTCAGCAATGGACGAGGGAACTGAGGGGTTTCCACCTGTGAAACCGAGACGTTCAACCCAATTGCAGTGATCCGCAAGCGTCCCAAATCGATCACCACTGGAAATTGGGACAAAGGTTCTAAAGGCAGCTCAGCAACATTCTAAGGTCACCCTACAGCTGTTGCATCCACAGGAAAAAAATGGAAGCACTTTAAGGCACCATAAGGCACCCATGCTGTGTGCAACCTATCATGAGGGAGCCCAGCGCATTAGAGAGTCCAACAGGACACCCCACAGCCCCTGTGATGCGTACGACTAGGATGACATATGTGGTACCTGCACCATGCATATCCATGCATGGCGTTCTGGAGCCCAGCATCCATGTTCGGCCTTCAGATCTACCTGCATCCATTCGTCGAACGTGAAGCAAGTTCTACCAAAGAAAATCACTTCCAAAAACCCTCCTCCCTGCGGTGTTTCCAGCTCGAACCTAGGTATAGTGCTTGCAGGCTCCCCTCAACATCACCTCAACATCGCCGACCCGACCCGATCGGTCCGTGGATCGAACAGCCGACCGGTCCCGGTCGGAACGATCCCCTGCCCCTTCCCCTCGCACCTGCTGGGATCGGGTTCGATCTTTGGACACATCCGGTCCGTCAGTCCCGAGCGGT